CATTCACTTTACTGCACAACCATCTCCAACATCCATCTCCAGATCTTTCTGTCTTCCCAAACTGAAACTCTGCACCCCTTAAACATTACCTCCCCATTCTCTCTCCCCCAGGCCCTGCTAACGACCATTCTACTTTCTGTCTCATTGAATTTGACTATTCTGTGAAATTCATATAAGTAGTATCATATAATATCTGGCTTTTTGTATCTGGCTTATTTTTCTCAGCATAAATAAAAAAAAGTATTTATTTGTTTATTTTTGGCTGCGCTGCGTCTTTGTTACTGTTTGGGCTTTTCTCTAGTTGCAGCAAGTGGGGATACTCTCTAATTGTGGGGCACAGGTTTCTCATTGCAGCGGCTTCTCTTGTTGCAGAGCACAGGCCCTAGGGCACACGGACTTCAGTAGTTTTGGCTCCCAGGCCCTAAAGAATAGACAGCCTCCGTAGTTAGGACACACAGGATGAGTTGCTCCACATCATGTGGGATCTTCTTGGATCAAGGACTGAACCCATGTCTCCTGCACTGGCAGATGGATTCCTATCCACTGAACCACCTGGGAAGCCCTTAGCATAAAATTTTTAATGTTCATCCATGTTGTAGTATGTGTCAGAATTTCCTTCCTTTTTAAGGCTGAATAATGTTCCATTATATGTATATACTACATTGTGTTTATTGACTTGTCTCTTTTAAAAAATTTATTACTTGGCTGTGGCAGGTCGTAGGTGCTGTATATAGGATCCTCGCCGTGGAGCGCTGCCTCTCTAGTTGTGGCACATGGGCTGAGGTGCTCCGTGGCACGTGGGATCTTAGTTCCCTGACCAGGGATCAAACCTGCATTCCCTGAATTGCAAGGCAGATTCTCAACCACTGGACCACCATGCAAATCCCTCCATTTGCCTCTTGATGGACATTTGGTTTGTTATTTAGCACTTTTGAGCAAAAGACTGTTATGTCTGGACATTCATGGAGAAAAGTGTTTGGGGTGGGGGGTTGAGGGGATGGGCAGGAGTTTAGAAGGGAGAGGTGCTTTGTGGCCAGGCGAGGAATCTGGGATCTGGCTAACCAGGAAAGATAAATAAATTTAATGCTACAACTGGTGCTGAGCGCATGCCTGCTCTGTTGCTCAGAGGGTAAAGAACTCTGTGATAGGTTGGCTATGTCCTCCACGTTCTTGGCAGGAGGGGGAGGTGGTGGCCATGTATTTACATTCCCATCTAAATTGTTTGGCTAGTTTCATAGCCCCTCTGGGTAAGGCTCTAGCTCCTCCAGTTCTTTTAACCAGCGCTGAGGGGCTGCTGGGCAGTGTCTGAAGGGTCATTTCCAGCTTCAGATGATAGCTCTGGTTTAAGAGGCTTGAGCAATTCAGCCTCTGCCCTTGGCAATATCTTGAACTCAAGGATCAATAGTGTTTTATTTTGTTTTCTCTTTCCTCCGCTGACTCGTCATCAGTGGTAAGAACCGGATAGCCCTAGAATTCTTGATCATAGGAATCCGTGATAGTCCTTCTTCCAAAAAAAAAAAAAGCATCTGCTCATTGACTCAAACTTGTATCAAAGTGAATTGTTGGAGACCTATTTCAAAAGGCAGGGAGTCTTCCATCTGTGCCATTACCTCGGGCTTGATACCTATTTTGATTCATTCATATCTTTGTCTTGGGTGAGATCAACCCTGAATATTCACTGGAAGGACTGAGACTGAAGCTGAAGCTCCAGTGCTTTGGCCACCTGATGTGAAGAGCTGCCTCATTGGAAAAGACTCTTATGCTGGGAAAGACTGAAGGCAGGAGGAGAAGGGGGTGACAGAGGATGAGATGGTTGGATGGCATCACCAACTCAATGGACGTGAGTCTCTCGGGGAGAGACTGAAGGACAGGAAAGCCTGGCGTGCTGCAGTCTATGGGGTCGCAAGGAGTCGGACACGGCTTAGCAACTGAACAGAAGCAACAACAACCCTTGGTTTTGCCTGCACAGAGTGAATTCCCTCTTCTTTAGGTGACAGTCTGTGACGGCTCTTCCCCGGGAGAAGCACCAGTGTTCCATTCCCTGTGGCCTCAGGGGGGCTTTCAGTTGAGTGTGCCCCTTCCATACCCAGCAATGGGCAGGCCTGTGATGCAGGCTGGCCAGCCGGAGCTTTCTCCATCTCCAGCCACAGCAAGTGATTCAGGGAGAGGACCAGGACCAAGTGTGACCCTTGGGAGTTTATACCTGCACAGGACAAAGGTAGGACTCTTCCTTCCAGATCAGAGGGTGATGAGTGTTTTCTGTAAAGATCCAAGTGTTAAGTGTTTAGGCTTATACCATCCCTCTTGCAGCTACTCAGCTTGCTCTTGTAATGAAAAATACAACACAATACAATATAATACACCGACAATACAGAAATGGATGGGCGTGGCTGTCTTCCCATTAAACTTTATCTACAAAAACAGGCAGGCTACTGGATTTGGCCTGTTGCCAGTTTCTGTTTTAAACTAAAACCATTGGAAAGCAGGAATGTAAGACCCACCTTGTGAAAAGAGCCATGGTAAAACCAACTCAGAAGGGAACTTCCCTGACTAAGCAGTGGCGAAGACTCTGCTTCCAGTGCAGGGGACCCTGGTTTGATCCCTACTCAGGGAACTAGATCCCGAAGGCTGCAACTGAGAGTTCACGTGTTGCAACTGAAGATCCCGAGTGCTGCAACTAAGAGCCGATGAAGCCAAATAAATATTTTAAAAAGCCAACTCAGAGGAAAATAGAACTATAAGTCAGAGAGAACAAACTCCAAGAGCCATTACTGACCCCTAGATCTAGCCATGCCTGAAGGAGGCCATCCTTTGAATAGCCAGTTAAGTAGTCCAATAGTACCCTTTACTGCTTAAGGCAATTTGATATGGGCTTTTGTCATGAAAGAAAATTGTGACTCCTATAATTCTATCCCCAGTAGTCTGCTCTTGGAGCTCTAAAGTTGTAAAATGCCTGAGTTGGAAAGACTTTAGAAGCAGGAGGAGGAAAGGGACTTTAAAAAATCTTAACTTGGAGACCTCCATGGAGCCCTGTTACCTGCCAGAAGCAGGGAGGCTGATCCCACCCACTCACAGCCCACCCAAGCCCCCAAGCACTCTTTTAACCACTGATTGAGCAACTCAGTTTGCTAGAATCATACCCTGATCTAGAAGGGACAGGAGAATGGACACTGATTGTCTTGTAACTTGTATGCGCAGTGTGTGTATAATATATGTGCTGGGGACATGTAGATAGAACATTTCATGCCATCCTTACAACAGCCTAGAAATAGGATCATTATCCTTATTTTGCACTTAAGGAATCAGCAGTATAACTCATCAGGGTTAAGTGATTTGCCGAAAGTAACCAAGACAGTACGTGCAGGAGTAAGATCGTAATCCCAGCTCTGGGGGGGCTCCAAAGTCCAATATTTCCCCTCAGCACCTTTGCCATCTTCCCTAACAAGAGGCTGAGCATGGGGCTTTGTCCCTGTCAGAGAAGCAGTACGTTCATAATAAGCCCACACTTTACACGGATGAAGAACGGAATAAAGGAAAACCAGTAACACCTGCCATCTGGCTCACCAGCAGCGTTATAAGCAAAACCTGGCCCATTAGCTGTAAATACCCACCCCAGCTCTTCTTTCAAGTAAATTGGTGGGGTTGTATTAGGAAATTTCTCTTTGCAAAATGCTAACAATGCAGTGGTGCTTAAATTTTATGTGTGTGAGATTATGACTAGATACATAAAGCGGGAGGAAAGAGTCTGCAGCTGACAAGAGCTGGTTACACAATGATTCGTTTCTTTTTTTTCTCCCAGCCTCATTCCCAAACAGTTCTCAAGTGGAAGAGTCACAATAAAACTGCTGACTGTAAGCTGGTTCATGGCACTTGGACGGGGACATGGAGAAGCCTGGTGGTCTCTGCTCTTCTGGGGAAAGAATCAAAGAAATTGGGAACTTATTTATTGATGCTCAGTTGCTCAGTCTCTGACACCCCAGGGACTGTAGCCTGCCTGGTTCCTCTGGCTATGGGAGTTCCCAGACAAGAATAACTGGAGTGGGTTGCCATCTCCTTCTCCAGGGGGTCTTCCCGACCCGGGGATCGAACTTGCATCTTCTGCATTGGCAGGCAGGTTCTTTACCACTGAGCCATCTGGGAAGTCCCAATGGAAACACTGCAACTTCCTTAAAAATAGTGACGGTCCTACCAAATCCATCAGCAGCTTGGGTGTGCTTCTCTTGTGCTTAGAGCTGACTCTTGGCCCCTGGAGTTCTGGCTGTAGGGTGTTGGGTGGCAGGGCTGTGACGTGAACTCAGGTTCTGGGACTGATGGAGAGAGAAGAAAGGGAAGGGGAAGAGAGTCAGGGTGCTCTCTTTTCTCTCTCTCTCTTCTTTGGCAGACAATGGAAGAAGGAGAGGAAGATCAAAGACACACGCAAGAAGGAGGGAGACTGACATGGAGTGACAGAAATGGGAGATGAATCAACGGGCAGAATCAAAAAAGAGAGAAAGGTGAGAGCATTCAGACCAGAGTCCTGAGGACAATTGAAAGAGGCACAGAAATGCCCAAAGAGAGAAACAGGTACTCAGACACACAGAGGTAGGCACACACACACATACAGGGAGAGATGTGTGTGTGCATGCATGCACATGTATAATCAGGGGGAGAGAGAGAGAAGAAAAAGAGAAAGAGAGAGGGAAAATGCAAAGAGAAACATAAAGTAGAAAGAAACAGGAACCTTTCTCAGTGACTTTAATTGTGACATCCAACCTGAGATAAGAAGGCAAGCCAACCCCATTTTCGAGCCTTTTAAAGCTCGTTATGCACCCAGAACTTCAGCTGAATGGGAGAATGTTTGAACACTTACACACAGCCTGCCCACAGCCTGAAGAAGCTCTTCAAGGGGCAATGATGTCCCACTGGCATCCTGCCCACGGTCCAAGAATCTGGACCTGTGGCCCCGGCCCCGGCTGATCCATTCCAGCTGAGAGCCGAGAGCCCTAGGCTCCACTAGACAGATGCTCATGCTGACGCAGCATGAGTTTGCACCAACCCACTCATGCAACCCGGGTGTCCAGGAGCGCCTGCATTTCGGGACACACCAACACCCCACAGCTGCATCCCCACACCTCACCGCAACCTCTGATGTGGCAGTCACGCTTCCTTTGAACCAACATCCTGGTGGACCCACCATGGCCCCTGTTTGGCTCTGTGACCATACAGTGGCCTGAGAGGACACCCACGACTGGAGAGAGTAGCCTTCCTTTGACAGAAGAGGGTGCAGGGTTTCTGTGTGCCTAAAAGTTTGCATCATTCTTTTCCTACAAAGGGGATGCCGTCCTGGAGATTTTTCCATCTTTGTTCACGTGAATCGACATCGTTGAATGACAAGGTTTAATGGGAAGATAAGGAAATCTTTTCACACCAAGCCCACTGCCATGCCCGCTTAGGAAGAGTCCTGGGTTCCTCTGTGAATGAAGAATTAAAAAAAAAAATTTATTCACTTCTCTTGATTTTTTTTGGCAACATCTCCGGTGGCATGTGGGATCTTAGTTCTCCAACCAGGGATGGAATCTGTGCTGCCTGAATTGGAAGCAGGGAGTCTTAATCCTTGAACCACCAGGGAAGTGTGGAGTGTCTTTGTGTGAAAGGTTACCTTGGTCAGATTCTCAGGTTCAAGAGCATCTCCGCATGTCCCATCCACCAGGAACCTAGTGGGGAAAGGAGCCCTCATGATATCAGTTTTCTCTTGACCACTGCTTTGCAAAAGCACTATATCATCTCACCTTGCCCTTCTCTCTCCTTGTCTTGTTTTCCTTCTGTTTCACACATCCAGACTCTTTCACTTGCTCTCAAAATTAAAAGGGACTAGCGAATGCCTGGGCAGCCCTGACATGCTCGGGCAGCATCCAACAGTCAGTCTGGGGCAGCTTCTGCCAGGGGCGGTCAGCCTGGGGAGCTCGGAAGCGCTCACTCTCTGTAGGCTGCTGATAAGAATAACATCGGGTAGCATGCAGCATCTTTAGATTTATCAGAAAGAGAAAACACAAAAAGATGTTTCTGTTTGTAGAAATAGAAAGAGATCAGTGAAGGGCAGTGAACTGATAAGGTATCCGAGCAGGTTCAACAGGAAGATTTTGTCTTGAGTTAATTGAAGGTAGGGAATGAGTGTGTTAACTCTGGAGTTGGGTGCAAATCTGGGCTCCGTGACATTGAGACTCTTCCTTAAACACTGAGACTTGTCTTTCCCCTCTGAGACTCTTCCTTAAACACTGAGACTTGTCTTCCCCCTCTGAGAGAGATGAGATGAGAGATTCTCAGCCCCTACCCCAAAATCTGCAAGTGAGCATTGATAGATGAGAACCCTCCCTGTTCCATGTTCGTCATTTTGGAAGCTCTAGCTTTGGGATCTTGGACAAGCAACTCTGATATCTCTGTGCCTTGCTTTCAAAGAGCCCACCTGCCAATGCAGGAGATGAAGGGATGCAGGTTCAATCCCTGGGTTGAGAAGTTCCTCTGGAAGAGGGCATGGCAACCTACTCCAGTATCCTTGCCTGGAGAATCCCATGGACAGAGGAGCCTGGTGGGCTACAGTCCATAGTCACAGAGTGGGACATAACTGAAGTGACTTAGTGTGCAGTCTCCTTAAATGTAAAATGAGATGACTGCTGGTACCTAGCTCATTAAGTCATTTGAATTTAGCAATATTGAAGCTCTTAGATTAGTGCCCAGCATATAGTATGGGTCCAGTCAATGTTAGCTATGGCACCGAGGTTGTCATCAGGATTCTTGTCTAAACTTGTGGAGGGCAGAAGGTGGTGGTGGGTTATGGGCTTGAGTAGCCTCACTCTTGTAGGATGGGAATACAACCAGGGTTCTTTCTTTTTCCGGTTCTCAGCTTTTCCCTCTATGTCTGTCAACCTTTTTGCCTTTCTGAGAATGGTTTTCACTTGCCTCCATGGGACATTTTTGTAGCTCCTCCATCAGAGAGGGTAGAACTCTACCTCCAGCCCCAGGTAGAGATATCCTGGGGAAGAGGTATGATTAATTTGGCTTTCACCTTCTTCCCACCCCTTGTGTCAATCACTGTGGCTAGAGTGGTGAGGTCCCGTGATTGGCTCAGCTATAATGACAAGACTGTTTGAGATCCTGTGATTGGCTCGGCTTTAATCACATGACTGCTCTTGAGGAGTGTGTGTATGGTTGAAATAAAAGCAGTTGTTTTTCCAAAGAAGGAATGTGCTTCAGAGAGAAGTAATAGGTTTCTGCTATCGTTGTTGTTGTTGTTGTTTTTTAAAAGATCCCTGCATATTTTCTGGCATAGAAATAGGTCCTCAACCAACTGTCCTCTATCCATTGGTCTTAACTTCAGGGATCCTTATCTATAAAATGGGAATCTCATAACACCTGTAGTAAGGATTGAGTAATTTACATTTAGAACCTAACAGTGCAGGCACATAGTAGGTGCTTTATAAATGCCTTTGCTTTTCTCTTTCCTGTAGCCAGAGATTCAGGAAGACCACCATCTAAATAACACAGAGCTTCATGAGCAAATCTTCAGGAGGGCTACCTTCCTCCAGGATCTCAGAAACTCTAAAGCAAATGTAACTGGAGAAACACTGCTCTTACCACTTAGTAATTAGGCCCCGATTGTTGTTTATCTGTGCGTTGTACTGTAACTCCCTCTGCCCAAGGCTGGTGCTAGAGCTTGGAAAATACAATTTCCTCCAAACTAATTTAGTTTTAAGAGGAAAATGAAAGTTTAAAGTAGTTTAATGTTTCAGCAAAACCATAATGGCTGGGGAAGATTGGACGATGTGAACCAATAAAGCACCCTAATTCTGATAATAACTCAAGGCTTAACTCTTCCCCACATCAAAACCCATCCCCATGCCGACACTCCACACAGATCCAGCGGATGCTGGAACAATCACTCATCTTTATTTATTTTGAGTTATTTAAAAAATAAACAACTTCACTTTTGATTTTCGTGGAGCCCTAAGGACACAGCTGTTACTGTCATTTATGTAGCCTTGTGGTTAGACCCTAGGCGATGCCCCCAGGATTTATGCATTTTCATTCCATTCACATGCTTTCCTCAGACCAGTGTTTCGATTCACAGGGTAAGAGTTCCATCCTTGGGTTGAAGGTACTTGTTGAAAAGGCCCGAGTTACAACATGGGCTCTAAAAGACAAAGCCTCTGGGAGCCTCAGTTTCTTATTTATAAAATAGAGCCTGAGAAAGATTTGTAGGGCTGTTGTGAGAATTAAGTAGGATACTTTATATGTACCTGGCCAATGAGAGAGACAGAGTACCAAGAAAACCAGCATCCCTTCATTTGCTGAGAACACACCGTGTGCTTACTGTCCTTATGAAGTCTGAGGATTCATAAAGCACTAAGGCATGGGAGGGCAGGTTTTAGCACCCGTTGACTTCTTTGTTTTTTTGGATGAGAGAGTTTTTAGGCTCCCCCCTCCATGTTTTCCAAGGTTTTCAAAAAATATATTAATTGGCTATACCAGGTCTTAGTCGTGGGAAGTGTGATCTAGTTCTCCGACCAGGGATCGAACTCAGACCCTCTGCATTGGGAGCATGGAGTCTTAGCCACCGGGCCACCAGGGAAGTACCCCAGGTTTGCTTGTCATTAGTTCATTCCTCTAGTCTCCCCATTCTCTCTCACCTACACATGCGTGGGTGCTCTCTCTGTGTGGGTTTTTGTTTTTGATTGTGTGTGTTTCAGTTGTTTAAAAAGAACTTCGGTTCTTTGCTATTGCCAGGTGACCTTTGTATCTATGCCTCCTGCCACCAGACCTGATATACTCTGTGTTTCAATCAGTTAACATTTTATTTTTTATGTTATTTATTTTATTATTTGGCTGCCAGATCTTATTTGTGGCATGTGGGGTCTAGTGACCAGGGATCAAACCCTAGCTCCCCCTGCGTTAGGAGCACCAAGCCATAGTCACTGGACCACCAGGGAAGTCCCAACACTTTTATTTCTAACCAAATTCCAGAAACCCTTTCTCTCCTTTATGCATGTTATCCTTTATTGCTTAGCTATGTTTTCCCCCTTCATTCACCTGAAAACTCCTATTCATTCTTCAAGTTCAAACTCTTATTTAATTTGTTCTACACTCTTCCCTGATTGCCCAGACATAGTTCCTAATTTCCTTCATTGTCTTGCCATAGCACTGTGTTTGTATCTCTATGATAAACCATATTTTAGTTTTACAACCTCTCCTCACATGTTTTGTGTTTCCCAGGTGGCTCAGTGGTAAAGAATACACCTGCCAATGGCAGGAGATACAAGAGATGTAGGTTTGATCCCCGTGTTGAGACAATCCTCTGGAGAAGGAAATGGCAACCAGTTCTGGAATTCTTGCCTGGAGAATCCCCACGGACAGAGGAGCCTGGAGGGCTACAGTCCATAGGGTTGGTAGAAAGAGTCAGATACAACTGAGGGACTGAGCATGCATGCTCACATGTTTTCCTGCAGCACGAACTGGATATGTCTTCCTGGTGTTCAGGTGTTCGGTCCATGTCTGCTCAGTGAAAGATTAGAGTGTGGGTGGGAAATCCACTACATGCATGCCACAGCCTTCCGTTCCCTTCTCATGGGAGACATCACTAATTGATGGGCCCAGGCTCAGGGCTTGTCTCAATCTAGGGCTTCAGCAGACACTCTCAATCAATTATGTTAACATGTGTAACACTGAACTAGAAGAAGGATGGATTTTGGGGAGAGGCTTACAAGAGTATTGGAGGATGTTCAACTAGATATATTCCATTACTTGTCTGGCTCTATAAACGCTGTTCATCAGTGGAGAGATGGTCAGAAGCTTAGGGAACATTTCTGTTTTCATTTTCTTCCTTCCTTTCATTTTTCTTCCTGCCCATGCTGCTTGGCTTGTGGGATCTTAGTTTCCCGATCAGAGATCAAAGCTAGGCCCATGGCAGTGAAAGCACGAAGTCTTAACCTCTGAACCATCAGGGAAGTCCTGAGAACATTTCTTTAGAGCATTTTCAGACTCTGTGCGGAGCTGGATTTACCCCCAGAATTGGCTGTTGTTGTTCAGTCGCTCAGTTGTGTCCAGTTCTTTGCAGCCCCGTGGACTGCACATGCCAGGCTTCCCTGTCTCTCACCGGAATTGGAGAAAAGTGATTTTCTGCCTCCCAGTGGAACAGAAATGGAGAAGGAAATGGCAACCCACTCCACTATTATTGCCTGGA